TGGGTAGCTATTCATCATGATGGAAAAGCTGCTCTTCAAATTCTTCAAGGAAATGTCAATGGCGCGTCCAACAGGCATCACAAGGAGATGATATTTCTGCCATATGCTAGGGCAATATTTAACAATAACTTAGTGTTCCAGGATGACAATACCACTGCCCACAGTGTGCGTATTGTACAGGATTATCTCGACCAGGGGGACTGTACAAGACTGCCATAGCCAGCAAAGTTTCCAGATTGTAATATCATTGAGAACTGTTGGGCAGAACTGAGCCAGAAAACTGCCTAAAACAGCTACTGTAGCTGAGTTGCAGCTTCTTCTATTGACAAGTTGAGATGAAATCATGGTGGATTACATCAATAACCTCATCGATAGCATGCCACGTTGCCATTAGAGTATGAAGACCAACAAAGTACTGAATGTTTAATGCAAAGTGTTATAAGGTTACAGACGCTATTTATAACAATTTGGTGTTATATTTGTCATTGTACATGTTTTTGTAAAGTTTCGTTGTGATAGGTGAAATGCTGAATTACACACCTTTCCAAAGGTGTCTCATAAAATTGTTTGCTGTTTTAATAAATCGTTTATGATGTTCGTAGAACCTGTCTGATCATACAAATTACATATGTAAGAATTAATATAACATGCATTTCTCAGTTTAACAGCGCTAAGTTATTTATATTCCATCTTTATAATAATGATGTTATTTGTTATAAAATATGCAAACATTTTGGTCAAGACTGTATTTTTTACATTACAGCTCCATCTAATACACATGTTGAGTTTTAGGGTGTTCTGCAGGTCACACCACCAACTAAATCCATGGTTCAAGCAATGCCTAAGATACTGTTTTCTTGGACAGTCACCTCGATAAGAACAAGATATATTCTGATTATGGTTTGTAATTAATGTAAATAAACTCTAATGATACTGACTGGATCAATCACTGGTACAGAACATGTAGAAGAAGTGTCAAAAACTAGCAGTACAGCTTATGTTATTTTACACTACATCAACTGGAAATCTTTTGTCTAAGCCTAAATCAGTTAACAATTGTCTTGTTTGCCCTGATGAAGCCATAGTAGTGAAATGTTGGTTTAAATCCCCCCCCCCCAAATGTTTTCTGAAGTAATAGGTTTGGTTTTATTTATCATTTTAACATTCAATACAACTCTCCATTTTGCACTACCAACTTTAAACTTTCAGAATAATATAGCTGTTCAGTATATTGAGTTTTGTGTCATACATTATAATATTCCAAACATATAAAAATATTTATGTTTTATACATAACAATGATATGGTTTGTTTTGCTAACATGGAGCTTTTAAGATGATATTGTTACGTCTCCGTTTGTTAATTGATTTTTTCGTAACTTCGTTCCGAGGAAATTTTAACGACACAAGTCTTTACTTAATAAAACTGGTTTATTCTTGTTATGTATAAAACTGATGTTAGACTGCAGTTATAATGTTCTGAGGATAATCAAAGCACACAGTTACTCGATCTTCGCATCCCACCCCACCCCCGTGAGTCAGTGGTAAGTTACGGACCTAAAACGCTAAAATCTGGGATTTGATTCTACCTGGTGAACAAAGCGCAGATAATTTATTGTGTACTTTTTGCGCCAAAACAAACATACAAACTATATACCGTAGTCGCGATGATGAAGGTTCAAGGACCGGGTCAGTAGAAGGGCAAGTGTAAAGGTTTCTTACGGGTGGAATGAAAAAGTCTAGACACCGTGTGAAGTTGAAATAAAGCGGATACGCCATTGAGTAAATACTGTTTGATTGTACAGGAGTCGGACTATTACTTGATATGATTGTATTTAAATTGAAAATAAGGAAAAGAAACTGTACTTAACAACGGATTAATTAAAACAAACTTTAGTTGCAAATAAGTTTAAGACTATTGGTGTTGTATGACTTGGAGAATATGCTGTTGTTTGGAGTTAACCACAAATCTACACAATAGGCTATGTGTGCTCTGCCCACCACGGGTATCGAAACCAGATTTCTAGCGTTGCAAGTCCGCAGACATACCGCTGTGCCACTGGGGGGCTGGAGAATATGTTATGACAGTAGTCAGTTTAAAAACAAGGATGAACTCTTGGCTATCTCAAGTGAGAATTGAACCTTTTGTAAGTGTCAAAACTCATCTTATATTCAACATCCTCCCTATAACTAACTAATCGCAAAATTGAGTCATTTATCCGAATGTCTTTCTGCTCCATGTAACAAATGTAGATCTGTCCCACAAATACAAGATAAAGTAGGACATAATACAACTATCTTATGAAAGAATAGATAGTTTCTATGATTGGATGTAACAACCAAGTCTGAATTGGATTATCGCCCTTACCAGATTTAGCATGGTCCAAATCAGAACTTCAAAATGGGTATTTTATTATATATGCAACATATATCATAATAAGACTGTTAATAATTTCTTATCACATATGTTTACCGGTCCTAGAAGAAAAATAAAATTATATTTTAGTTTCATACTTTGTGTGTTGTCAATGAGGCCTTAAACCTGTTATGTTTTCTAGAGTAATGGGTCGTATTTTATTTTATTCCTGTATGTTATTCTTAAGTACCGAACACAAGTGATGTATAATTTTTCATCAATTTTAGTGTTTTCCATAAAACTAAGAAAGTTCACAACACTTTGTAGTTTTTTTTCAGAATTTGTAGTACATAATGGAGGGATTTAAACATTTTGATAGTAAAGTAAGAAAAAGAAAACGACTATTTCTCTCCAGATAATAATAAAAATACTTTTTATTTCAGCCGACGTTTCGCCATTGCGGCTTCATCAGGGCTTTTACTATTCATTTTATTTTATCTGGAGAGTAAAGGTCGTTTTTTTTTCTAACTTTATTGTTTTGTTGTTATTGGTCTGAAAAGGGTTAATTTTTTTCAAAGTTCTCTTTTTTAAGTTCAGTAGATGGCTGTCAAATTGTATCTATGACTTAATTACATCCTTAATAAGCTAATACAGTGCGAAGTAAAAATATTTAATCACGAGTACATCCGAGGTAGATGCGAATTACGGTTATAACAAAATCATTAGGTACAACACAAATTACCATTGCTTATTCTAGTGTTATCTAGCCATTCTTTGACAATTGTATTATTTTGTGTAGGTGTGTTATCAAAATTATATTACATTGTGTGTGTCGCCAGCTAAATCTAACTATACCGATTGATTCATCACTTTTATTCTTTTATAAAATATTATCAGTCCATAAAACTCTTAAACGTGTGTTTTGAAATAAGACCAAACGCTAACAGATTATGTTCATAGTAATATCGCAGTACAAGAGTTTTGATTAAGTCGGTCATTTGATTCTCAAGTCAGTCTGTGGCAGCCTTTACATATTTCAGGTCGTCAAGTCCATTGTGTTACGCCAAGTACGATGCAAACACACACACACATATACAAAATATCAGAAATATATTTCAGACAGCGAAACATTAAATGTAAGAAAGAATCGATAAGAATACGAACTTTACCATCAACAGAACATATGATCTATACATTTGTACATGAACAAAGCACGGTGAGTGCATTGCATTAAATTATGAAGGATACGTAAACTCCACAGCCATCCAATACTAGACACAGGCTCATGATTATTGAAGGGAGCAGGACTGTTTTTGCTAATGTAGGTCAAGCACAGCTACTGTGTGGCGACCTATTGCTGATAAGTGGATACAATATTGTTTATTCAGACTAGCCAATCACTCGAGTTGTTGCTTTTAACGATTCAGAGCAATTTTCCAAGGTAGAAATTATTAACTTCTATCCAGGAAATCGTTAATGTTGACAATCTGTAATCAAACACATTACACTTTGCTTAATTCATAGTGACTTGTTTTGTTTTTAATGTAACGGAAAAAGTCAATGTTAGTGCAATTTGATTTATTTTTCTTCTAATATCGTTGGCTTATAAATGTCACTATCATTATCGGTAACGTTGCGAGCAATTTGACAGAGGTTAGAAATTCTCATACTTTAGAGTGGTATATAAACACCCGAAATATTTAAAATATGAGTTTTCACTGTTAACTTTTATTTAGAAAATTAACTTTTGAATGAGTAAAACACGTGTATACAGCTAAATCTTAGAAAAAAAACTAGTGTATATAGATATTAACTCCTGTTAAAACAATCTGAAGATCTATAAAATGTTGAATATAGGAACCAATTCACTCTAAAAGAACAACAAAATGAAGGTCAGACAATCAGAAAATATGCACAAGAAATTGTAAATGCGTATATACAATAAAATTATGTTAAACAATTAGATAATCATACATGAAAATTCAAAAATATTTCACATCCGTATGGTTGCACCATGTTAACGTTATCATAAGATTTAATGATGCATTGCATATCTGTATGGCTACACAATGTTAACATGATCAAAAGATTTAACGAGTTTTTGCATATATATATATATATACAGATACACCAAGTTAAATATTTAGATTTCAAATAATATTAAAAGTCTATAAGGTTTCATCTTGTTCAAATAATCAGAAAATTTACTGAACTGTTGCACAGGAATAGTTGTTGACTTTGAAAATTTCGAAAGTTTATGTTCAACTAATATATTCAAAGCCATTTTCACCAGTTAACTTATATATTTATAATTCATGCATACATACATTTGATGTTGCACTGGCGAGTTCTTATGTTTATTGTTGGCATAAAGTGAAACGTTGATGAAGACTGTTCCTATTTTTGATAAATAAAACGTCTCTCCCCTAAACATTTTGTAAGCTATACTGAAGTCGTATGAAAACATTTGTGTGAATATTAGTTTATTAAATGACGGTTAAAACGGCACAGTTGAAGGTCAGACTCCTGGCTAAAATTTTTGTACATTTAATTTCAATATAAACGAGTTTTTGGTTTATAAAGTGTCAAAAGTTATTCTGAACAAGTGATTCCAAAATATTAAAATGTTAACTTCTGTTATTTTAGCGGCTGGCCTCCTGGCGTCCATGAACCAGTCGGTAGACCCTTGTTCTGACTTCTACACCTACACCTGTGGAGGATGGATCAACAAAGCTGTCATCCCTGATTCTGCTAAAGATAGCATCTATGATGTGAGAAGGAAACTGGAGTTTCAAACAACACATAGGCTAAAAGGTATAGTGATTTCTTATTTTCGTTAATTTCCTACAATAACTCTTGAATGGTAAGCTGTAGTTGTTATGTGATTCCAGACTAACGTAAATTTGACTACAGAAATTGAGCACGTTATATTAAGCAATATTGGAGCTTCAGCACGTCGTTACAGTTCATGTCAACACGTCCAGTTGTGCTCTTCCTTACGATCAAGGATCTTGACAATAGCTCTGAAGCATAGTTTCCGTTGCCAAAGGTTCTGCCGTAAGTGAAAAACCACAGTAAACGGAACAAACTGTCAGAAGTCTGATATTAGAGAAACTAGTTTCGACTGAAGAGGACTCACTTAGTTTCTCCAATATCATGACTTCTGATATTTTGTTCCGTTTACTGTGGTTTTTCACTAATTGCTATACACGATATTGTGTTCTTTTATTATTGTTGTTCTGTCGTAAGGCTGTCATGTCCAAAGTACATCTCTTCGCTCTGTAGCTTTCGATAATCCATCTAGGGTAGGAGAAAACTGTTTCCCAGTGCTGTTTCAACAGTCCAATCACACAGACATTCATAAGCGCTGCGTCCGGTGACTTGACTAGTAGGTTTTCATACGGATCAACATGAACACTTGTTTAATTCTCTAGCTACTTGAGAACGAGACGGGTGAAATATATATGTCTTCCAAGCAACTTTTGTACACGTGACTTGTGTCACTTTTCCAGGTGGAGACCCTTCTTGGTGACGTCGCGTACTGTTGCCTGGGGCACGTGGACGGCTTTTACCACTGTTATTTGTCTTCGTAGGTTCTCACCCGTTACAAGACAGTGCACTTTGCTTACTACGTCTGGGGTAAGACGTGTTGCACTTGGGTGTCCTAAATTAATTCATATTCTTTTGTTTTTCAATGCTATTAAGGATAAGGAATATCCCTGTTTTGGAAACTCTAAATCCTCGATTTGAACACATATTTATGATCTGAGCGCATGAATATTTTGAGTCGGAAAGGGTTGTTATATACCCTTTCCAAAAGCGATCAATTTGCGGTGTCATCACACTACCTACGAAACGCCAAACTTTAAATGTAGTTCTGATACAATCTGTTCTACCGCGACTTTATATCGGTTATGGTTGCTGATCGTTGTAATATAATGTACTCTACCCTCTGATATAATCGATAAACGTTTTTTGAAAAAAGGAACCAAACACGCTGCTAACGTTGATTTTGCAATTAGTAGTGGTCGTAACTTTATTTGTTTGCAGCTAAGCCACCGCGGGAAATCAAACCCCAGATTTTTGAGTTGTAAGTCCGTAAACTTACGCTGTCCCACCGAGGGGCATGTTTTCGTAACATTAACAAAACAGAGTTGTTTAGAAAAAAAATTCCATAAAATTAATGCAAAAATATGTAATATCTGTAAAAATACACAAAGATAATTTCTATTGCGACAAACGTCATAAATTTCATACAATACATGAGCGCTAAAACAACAATACAGAAAGATTCATAGACTACAGGTCTTTTATCGACAATACCATAGACTTAACAAAACATAATATTGTCATAGAAACAATAATATGGAATTCATAAAGCACAAGTGGCATCTCAAGAATACCGCGAAAAAAACAACAACGACAAAAGCATTACGTTAATATTACCATAGTACATATTACAGTATGTAAGTGCTACTGCAACAATAACACTGTAACAAAACTAAAGTGTTAAAGCGACACTAATAATACCGTGAGATAATTTACAAAACATAACTACTATAGCAAAAAAATATCGTTCAATTCTTACAGACTCATGTGCTAAAGGAACGATAATATAACATGAACGAAACAAAAGACTAAAGTAACAATATCACAGAGAGAGCAATAAATACAAAAATATTCACGAACAAAACATATATTACAACAATATTTTAAATTCTTAAAACAGAAGTGCTATAGCAGTAATATATTCAATTCATACAATAAACGTACTACATAAAACGACATATACAAAATTAGATCTAAACATAAAATACTGGAGCGCGAAAATTTTGCCACTATCTATTATGACACTGCAAAAACTTAACTATAAGTTCAAACAGCGGTTTGACGTAGGTTTCCGGAAAACATTTCGACGAAACTATCATTATCAACAAGACAGAAAGATTGAAACAAAATAAGCCTGACAAGTTTGCAATATCATCAGTATAAATGTATCCATAAGAAATTGCCATTAACTGGTTTCCTTATTATAATATTGGTTATCTTACTGTAGAAATTATTACCTGTACCACTTACTTAAAAATCAGTTTAATACATTTAATTACTTCTCATTTTTCCCTATCTACTTGCTGGGTAATTTAAGCATCTTTTGTATATTTGAACAAAATGAATTCGATTTGATTTAAAATAACACCGTCGATTTCATAAATATTTACTATTAATATGAGTGTAACGAGATAAGGAGGTTAGTTATTTATGTTTGGAAATGTATTATTTCTCCGAAAGGGGGCCGAAGGCCGCCTAAAGGGGTCACCTGTTTTAACTATTTGCACCACCATAAAGTGATGTCAGTCAAATTCGATGACGAGGAACCCACTTTGACGTTACACTAAACAAAAATACAATTTATAGAAACGTCTGGATTAAAAATAGTCTATTACTAGATGTACTTCCGCAGGGTCCTCGAAAGTGTTTTGTTTCAATAGTAAATAAAACCAAAATTAAGAGTAACAAATATTTATATTTCTTGCTTTTGAAATTCATATGTTATGCTGTGTTGTAGCCTACAGAGTGCATAATTCTTCTCGCGATTCATGGCATGCGCACGTTTTACGACGTCACGACAGTAAAAATTGCAACGTTAAGCGTTCATTATGTGACGTCATTTTAGTGTTTACCGACTGACTGACATCATAATGGCTGGAGACGGCTTGAATGGGTAATGAAGAAAAACTTTAACCATTCAAGCCGTCTCCAGCCATTATTAGTCCTATCTGATTTTTAACAAGTGTTTTAATGGTTTCTATTATTGAGCTGTATTCGGTAACAAAATAATTATGGATGTTTAGTCCATTTAGTGATAACAAGAACATTTTATTTCTTCAACTTCAACAATCCACGGTTAGCGTAAAGAACATTCACCGATAGGCCTAACTTCACATATAAACTACGTTAAACAAAAATTTCATTTACTTCTTTAATTTCGTATCTCTGTTTCTTCGTCGAAATATAAACTCAATATTCACAGCACTGAACTTGGTAACTCTCTGACTGTAACAGACAAACATACTAAATCATTCAATGATTATGAATTAATGGTTTGTTTGTTTCTTTGTTTGTAATTAAGCACAAAGCTACACAATGGGCTATTTGTGCTCTGCCCACCACGGGTATCGAAACCTGGATTCTAGCGTTGATGAATTAATGGACAAGCATACTCATAATTTATTCTAACAAAGTTTCCAAATTTGAAGAAATTTTCAGACATTAAGAGTATAATATCACACCCATCGGGATCTTGGCTTCGATCAAATTGGTTTTTATCATGATTTGTATGTAAATCTTATATCTTCTTCCTGTCTTAACTTCCCGTCTCTTTCTTCTAGTTTTCACCTTTTCATTCTTGGTTTTATTTCCATTGTTTCTTCACTTTCATAACATTTTAAATTTCGTTTCGAGCACGTGCCGTCATTTTAAAGTTGAGTGTGGATTTTTCGTTGTTGTGATGCTTTTATACTTCATTTATGTCCCTTTGTACTTCCTTTATTACTTCGATGATGTTCTTTTATATTTTATGTTTGACTTCGTTGTTGTTCTTTTGTACATTTTCTGTGGCTCCCACTTCACGAAGTACAAAAGGAACAACTTTAAGTCTAATGACTGGAACTCCAGCTTGTCCTGATGGACTATTGGTTTGAAGAATCTTCATGTTTCTGAAGAAGAGGGATATCATAATTTAAAGCACGAGTGCAACAAACTTTATTAGAGTCATTTCTGGATAGAACTTTGCAAAATGTGAGTTTGTACAAGCAATACTTTCACAACAAAGAACACCAGAACTATTCACCTCAGAAACAATATATGGAAAGTCTGTGACATCTTCACATAAGGGAAACTTTCCACATTATCTACAAGAATCGTATGGTTGAAGATGTGAAAGTCTTACAAATAACCATTTCCACAGATGACATGACTTACTTGTAGAATACCAAGTTACCTTCTTGGGTAGACGTTATGACTTAAGGTGGATAGATAAAATATCTCATAAAATAGATAGTGGAGATGAAGCCCCAGTTTTTAAGTTGGCCAGATGACTTTCAGTTGCAAAAAAAAAGGTTGAGGGTCTGAAAGAAATTGAGACCATAAAAGAATACAGAATAACGGAACCAAGTACTAGTCGTTGGTCGTCGTCTATTATACTTGTGAAAAAGAATGGTGGATTTGGAAGGTTAATTAAGTCAAAAAGAGTGATCGAGCTAGAAGGTTAAGGAAGTCAAGAAGGATGGTGGATTTGGAAGGTTAATAAAGTCAAGAAGAATGGTGGATTTGGAAGGTTAAGGAAGTCACAAAGAAAGAATGCTACCCACTGTCAAGGATTGCTTCTACTTTAGATGTTTTATCTGAGTCAAAATAATTCAAGTGCAAGTCTACAAAGCAAGTTCGGAAAAGGCAGCTTTTGCTGCAGGAAATTGGTTGTAGCAGCTTGTTGTGTTACAGTTTGAGTTATGTAATGCACCCGTTATATTTGAATGACTAATGGAATGTGTTCTCTCTGAACTACTCTGGAATTTCGTACCAATTTACTTGGATGACATAATCACACATGGAAAGACCTTCAGTGACACTTGTGATGGGATAAAAAAGTAATTTATCATTTGAGGATAGAGAACATTGAACTGAATCTGAAGAAGTATGAGTTGTTTCATCGACAAGTTAGGTTCCTGGAATATATAGTCACTGGAAAGGGACTGTTTTTTAGGAATCCACCAAAGATTGAATCTATCCAGAATTGGCCAACACGACAAAACTAGTGTGAAGTAATGGGATTTTTTGGACTGTGCTTTTACTGTCTTCATTTTGTAAAATCGTTCTCTGAATAGTACACAAACTACTAGCAAAAACTAAAAAAAGTTTGGTTGGACTTGTTATTGTAAACAAACTAAAGAAAGAACTAACCACCACTTTTCTATTAACATTCCCAAGTCTTGAAGGTCCTCTGAAGATGCCAGCGATTATGCAATAAAAGCAGTGTTATCACAAGTACATCATGCGAAAGAACACGTGAGAGCTGTTGAAAAGCGGTACTGTAAAACTCGGAAGAGGCAACTAAGTTTTGTCCAAGCCTCGAGTTATTTCCATCGCTACATATATGGACACAGTTTTAAATTATTCACAGATAATGCACCATTGAAGTGATTGTTGAATTTCCGCAATCCAGAAGGTCAGATATCCACTTATTGAGTTCGTGAGTCTGTTAGTCAATCAATGAGTAATCAGTGCACAAGTTATATTAGTCAGTTTCTCTGTTACTGTCAGCCAGTTAGTCAGTCGACAAATAACAGATATACGAACATAGAGAAGTAAGTAACATTTGTGTTTAGGTGTAGCTTACTTGTGAAGTTAGACCTAACGGTTGTTATGGTAACTGTGAAATTTGAAGTTGAAGAAATTCTTTTATTGCTAAGTGGTCCTGGCTTTCCATCATTATTTTAACCGAATAATACAAAAGAACCCATGAATCCGTCCAATAATAGGAACCATTAACACACACACACTTATCCCCGCTAATGTATAGAGAATTGCTACATGTAACGGTTCACACAATGTTTTTTTATTTGTGTGTGTATGTGTGTTTGTCCCTAGCTCTTCTTGATGGGATTTCTCTACCTAAGCCGTCAGCTGCTGTAACTCAGATGAAAAAGATGTACACATCGTGCCTAAAAATGGGTAAGTTTGACTTTTCACAGTTGTAGCAGATCTTAATTAGTTATATAAAATGCAAATAAACGTGTGACAGCTTACATTTTTAGAAGCAAAGAATTAGATAACTACCACTCATTGATCTCAGAAAGGCATAATTAACTAACGCTATTTAAAGAAATGCCGGTTGTGTAGGACATTTTTCTGACGATGTGACAAACTAGAAAAACTACCAGCTACTCTGGACCAACCTTTAAATAAAAAGAAAAACATATTTCTGTGGATAAGTCAGAAACTAACTCAAAAGATTCAGCTGTGTCCTTTAGAGGTTTTCGGTGCTAATTGCTAGCGAATTTAACTTGCTCAACAAGAGAGTTTGGAGGCAGGTAAAATATCAGAACTAAAGTAACACGTCATAACTTACTGGGTTGTTGAGGAATTTTAGGATTCATTCATTATACGTGTTACCCATTCGATTAGACCCTTCGGTAGATCTAATTTGCTGTTAAGGAAGAAAAATCTGAATTATTGTCTGGATGAAAAACCTTCCTAGATAACTGTTACCGGGATCAAAGTTATTAATGTTACTGGGATCAAAGTCATTATTGTTACTGGGATCAAAGTCATTATTGTTACTAGGATGAATGTCATTATTTTTACCGGTATCAAAATTATTATTGTTACCGGGATCAAAGTCATTATTGTTATTAGGATCAAAGTCATTATTGTTATTGGGATCAAGATTATTATTGTTACTGGGATCACCGTTATCAATGTTACTGGGGTAGCAGTTATCATCGTTATATGTATTTTAATGTAAAAAAGAAAAACGAAAGATATGTTCATGTCATACACAGTGTTGTTTATTAAATTTTTTTATTTGATACTAATGGTTTTTACTTAGCTTATCTTTCGTTATTTATTTTTATAATATTGATGTACTCTTGACGAAAATAAGTAATTATATTTCAAAATTTTCCAAACTTTCATAGTTATGTTTTATATTGACTTTTTCTTTCGTTAAGTTAAGTAAAAAAAAAAGTTAGAAATCAAATATAACAAAAAGCTTACTCTCTATCACATCCAGGTTTAGTACTGTTTTACTGGATATGTGTTTACTTGTATAAAGTTGTAACGTCACCCGTGTTGTTCTTTATTATTCTTATTTTCTGAATGTTATTTCCACATAGCACAAAATATCGAAAGTATGTTCTCTCAAAATAAAAAACCTAATGTATTTACCTATCTATGCAAGTTGCAATATGTCAAAGAAACTGATCATTTTCCTCTTTCTTTGAAAACAAAAAAAAGATGACAATATCATTCATGGAGCAGCTACATTGCGAAAGATGTTGAATGATGTCGGAGGCTGGCCGCTTTTATCCACAAACTGGGCAGGTGACGTTTACAACTGGGTCCACCCAATAGCTTGGATGATTCGTCAGCTTGGAATTGTGCCTTTTATATCCTTCACTATAGCTCCCGACTTCAGAAATACGTCAACAAACGTTATTTACGTTAGTTTCATTTATTATCTATTACAGTTGGATGAGTAACCTGATAAAGTATTCTAGAAATTAGGTTAACTGAAATACTGGGTGTCTTTTTAAGGGGGAATGTTGCCTGGCTAAAGAAACAGAACACTGGTCATAATGATAAATATATCATTTTTATAATATTATATACAGTGAACAAAGATTCTTGGGAAAACCTAAAATATTTTGTTAAGGCGAAGTTGTCTCTTTAACATGTTTTAGGTTTATGAGATCTGTAGGTTTTGGAACAGAAATCATGTTTCAATACATTGACATTCCTCCTCCCTACTCGGGAAATATTAAACAGGGGGTGGTATGGGAGGAACTTCCTGTTAATTTGGGTTCAGTATTTTCATATTTCAAAACAAAAATAGGCACGTTCATTTTATGAAAGTTAAAAACATTTTAAATCGAATGCTATGCAAAGCGTTTCAATGTTTTTCTGAACACGATATAAAATAATCGGTACAAACACACTATAATTAATTAATATCCATCTTAAGTTAATATGTTACTAAGGTAATGAAAGTTTACTATGAATAAGTTTATCGGACGCGTAGAAGTTTTTATTTTATTATGATTTCTGAAGAATTACTTAATATGCTTGAAATACCGTAAATTTTTATGATTGGTTAATAATATAGAATATTTGAAATTAATAGCAGGCGCAAGAAAAAGATCGTCACTTGATAATAGAATTCTACGTAAAATTCTATAAGAGAATAAAATTATTTACAAAATTTAATTAAATAATATGTATCCAAATATGCGTAACTTAGAACATGTTTTTCAGTTAGGAAATCCTGTAATTCAGGGATTCTTAATTACTCAAGAGCGTCAACAGAGGAAGCTTATCCAAAATATTACTAAACAACTTCAAGAACGAGAAAATAAGGATAAAGTGGATCCAGAAGAAAGTGACATTGCCAGCATTTTTGAAGTGGAGAAAAGAATTAAAGAGGTAAAATACTAACAATAGAAAGAACCGGCAAACTGTTGTTTGTGAAGTTTGAGTAAAGTTTGATTCGGTATTTTGTATTTAATGAATATTTTCTTTCTTTTTTTTCCTATAATATGTATAAGATACTGTCAAAATAATTTGAAAGATTCAGAATTGATAAAAACTAAATTATAACTTAAATTTTACTTCGCATTACGTGTCGTTTTGAGATATATGTGGCTCTGTTGACTATGAAATATAGGTGTCATGTAATACTTTGTCACCTATTGAACGTTTGGCATGGCATCATGCTCTAAAACGGAATTCAATGGGTATACATACAAAGACACATTATTAACACAGACTGATTGATAGTGGTGAAGTGTATGCAAGATGTCACAACTTGGTTAGATTGTAGGATATTTTATTTGTGGAACATCGATACCTAAAGTAGTTGCAATGCTTGATCATCTGTGAATGACTATTCCACGATATCGGGAACTTGATAGTAAAAATGTGCATGTAATTTAATGTTGTTTTGGAGAACAATGTAATTAACCCCTCCCGACTTTTGGTGTTCCATTTACTATGATTCTGTCTTTGAGCGTTAGTAATTTCCCTCTTGTTTACAACGATTTTAACATGCTAATTTAAAATTAAATCATATTTGCTGAGAAGGATAAGCATTTCCAAAAATTTGCCGTAGTCTAATGAGGGATCATCCAGAGTATAAGTGGCTTCATGAGTCTTACCATGATAACTAAGACCCCTTTTACTCATAAGCTTAGCAATGTATACTACCTTCACGTCTTGCTCGTTTCGAACTTGTGTTTTGCACTCAGACTTCTGGCTTTTGAATAATAACGTGTGGATGTTACCTCCTTTATCTGATAATAATTCATTCATGGTGTATATTAGAGCTTTCATGCTCATTAGTTCGTTGATAAATGTGTTGCCAAGTTCTCATCTCCTATAGGTAATGCAAACTATACAGAACAGTTGTGATTTTCTGCACAAAAACCTAATTACTGTCTGTTTGAACTATTAGCCCTAAAAAATTATTTTCTTTGGTCGAAAGGCAACGATTGTTTGTTTGTTTGTAGTTAAGCACAAAGCTACACAAAGGACTATCTGTGTTCTGCTCACCACGGGAATGGAAATCCGATTTTTAGCGTTGTAATTAAAGAAATGAACAAAAGGACCCACACATGATTTAGTAAGTGAGGACTATATTTGTTCTTGTGATCCAATCTAATTAACTTGAACATCGTTACCAAACGTTGCTTGCTGGGCTTGCACTGTAGGGGTATGAGTTACATGTGGAACTTCATTATTGTTTGAATCCAGAAACTCATTTTAGATAGGCTCCACCTCATCGGATAATTGCTGTTGCTGAGATATTGCGTCGTGGTTACACTTGTAATTACACTTGCACCCTGTGTACGCCTAAATAACTCTGTAATTTTTTTTTATTTTTAGCTTCTGTTTTGCGTAAATATTTCTTTTTATCTCACTCTCTCTCAGCACTCCCACTTCTCATCGATGATACTTAATAGGCCTAGACATGTTCCTGTGAAAATTTTAAAACAATTTATTGAAGAATAATCTCAAAATCACAATCCTTTCAACCAAATTTTTAGTATGTCAAAGTGAACTCTACATGGCAAATATTTACTCCAAATAAATTCCGAAATATATTGTTAATCCAAATGCGAGTGTTTATTTCTGCATTTAAAATAAAAGTGTTATAACCAATGAATTAATTTTGCGATTAATCATTACGAGTGTTGAAAAACAATGCTGAGATAATTGTACGTAAACGAAAAAAACGATGTGGAATTGACAACCTTCTATCTGAGAATGAAGAAAGATGCAACACTAAATTAAATTCATATATGAGATAAACTTTTGTTTTTTGAAGAAATTCTTATCTTGATTGCACTCTACTGGTACTCACGGAAAATATTTTAAATGTTTACATAAAAAAAACATCTTTTGAGTCGAGTAACTGACTAATCAGAACGTTTTTCGAGGAATAAACTAGTCCAGACACGAAATATTGCAAACATTTTCTTATTTTATTATGAAAATGCTATATGTGGATGCATTGCTGGATGAACAAAATGGAATTAATTTGTTTTGCTATAAAACAAAACCTATTTTATCTTCTCTTTAAATAGCTCACTAATTCTTACTAATCATCCTTTAACAAGAAAAAACCGTTTTGTTTTTCTTATCTATGACACAATGTTATCTTCGACAGAGGTATAGTACAAAGTGATCTAAGAACCTTGATTTCATCTTGCCATTGTTAACTTAGTTCAGTTTTAGCTTCAAGTAGGTTACACTAACTTACATTGTTTGTTTTTTCTCAATACATTCTCTTATGTGTATTTCAAAATTTCAATAATTATTTTCTTCAGAACTATAGAACTGATTTCGCTCAAAACCTATACAACACTATACATGCGCCCATTTTTTGTTGTTGTTTTGGATATTGATTAATAAAGCCATTTGGGCTGTGGAGGTTGAAAAACAAAATAATAAGTTTAATGTTTTTCAAATGTGCACAATTGAGTCAATAACTCATTCGACTAATTAGTTGTTATACTTTAGCAAATTTTACTAATATTTCTGGAAACTGCCAGGCCATCAGGAAATTGTCCGGCTGTCCAGTAGGCTTGTTTATCCCTTGCTGAGGCAGGACAAACTCCAAAAGAGAATTATTAGGTCTCCCCTGCAAAGAAATGCTCTGAAACTCACTGTCGCACTCCAAAAGACTGTGAGAGGTCATTAGTACGTACAGGCCATTTTAAATTATTTCATGAAGTGGGCAAAAGCTTATCTATTGGTTGATATATTAGTACAGTCCATTGTTGATGTGTTGGCAAAGAACTAGAAAATAGCACTGGAAGAAATTCACATGGATGAGCCAGCTAATTCCAACATCCAAGTGTTTGCTGAGTTATGTAAAAGGTTAGGTGTGTTGAAACTGTACACTTCACATTACCCCATGTCTGATGGTTTGGCAGAATGGGTAATAAACTCTCATGAGGGTGTGTATAAGACAGGAGCCTAGCAGTTTTTGTGGTATATTATGTATGTATATATTTTCTGTGTGTGTTTTTTTAATGGAAGTACTTATGGAAACAGAGAACAAAATGAGTATATAATGCAAATTACACGTAATAGAATAATGAAATGTTGCTTAATGCAGTGCTATGCTGACATGGCACAATGTGATTGGCTGTCAGACAAGCAATCTGTAAGTGTCAAACCAGCACAAGACCTATATAAGTATTGGTAGTGATACGATTTTAGAGTTCGAAACTTTTGGTGAACGCGTTGGCTGCTGGGAAGGAAATTAAACACAACAAGTATATGTAAGTCGAAGTTTTGAGACTACTATCAACAGCTTGCAGCCCGACTTCAAGTTTCACCCATTTCTATATCCAAGACCCTAAACAGGGCTCATGAAACTAGAATAGAAGTAGTCGAGGAAGAAGACCAAACTACCCACAAGTAATGTAAAGTTCCTCGAAGTAACTTCTCTGTGCGTTAGACGACGATTCAGTAGAGATCTTGTGAATGATATTGCTACAGGTGTGAGTAGAGATTTTGTGAATGATATTGCTACAGGTGTGAGTAGAGTTCGTGTGAATGACATTGCTACAAGTGTCAGTAGAGACTTGTGAAGGACATTGCTGTAAGTGTCAATAGAGATCTTGTGAATGGCATTGCTGCAAGTGTCAGTAGAGATATTGTGAATAACATTGCTATAAATGTTAGTAGAGATCTTGTGAATGACATAGCTGCAAATGTCAATAGAGATTATGCGAATGACATAGCTGCAAGTGTCAATAGAGATCTTGTGAATGACATTGTTGCAATTTTCAATAGAGATCTTGTGAATGACAGTGCTACAAGTGCAAGTGTTAACCTCTTTTTTTAAGAACAATAAGATACAAATTAGCCCAAAATGGTGTCAATGGGCTTGTAACTGCTCGAAAACCTTTGCTGAGAAAAGGCAACAAAACAAAAAAGACTGGAATAAGCAACAGAAATGAAACGGTGGAATGTTCAAACCTAGAAAATAGTGCTCTTTACAGACGATTCCAAGTTTGAGTTGTTTAGCAACAATCAACGTCTGTTTTTTTTTTCGAAAGTAGACTGGAGAGCAGTATAACAATCAGAGTAAAACAGCTATAGTAAAGCATGAAAATGGATAAATACAACTGTGGGGCTGTATCTGAACCAAGAGTGTCAGAAATGTACGTAAGATCGAAGGTAACCTGACTGCCGACAGATACAGTCAAGTTCTGATTCACCGTGTCATTCCCTCAGGAATGCATCTAATCAACGTGACAATGTAGTGAAACACCTGTTTGGAATGTAAAGAAGCTAATGGAACATTCACAATAATGTCGTAGCCTTCGCAAAGTCCTGATATGAACATCACCGAGGCCACGTGGATGCTAAGAATGTTATATGGCAGTCAAACAATTTGGATTAATTATGGAAAGTGTTACAAGATATTTAGAACAACATTCAATAGACATTTATTGATAAACTGTATGGGAGCATGAAAGCTTAACGTCACACTCAATATAAAACAATAGGCTCACATACCGAATATTCATTGTTTTTTTGGATATTTTTAGAATAATGCATTGTGTTTACGTTTGTGCAAATTTGCTGTATACAATTTTCCTTACAAACCCACTTGATCCTCTGTTTGCATATTTATTTCAAATACTGTATCTATATTATTCTCTCTTATTTTTGTGTGTGTAATGACATGGCCTCACTTTATCACGCCTGTGCACATGTGTGAAAGAGCAGGGATTTAAAGTATCTTGTAATATATGTAATTCATTTGTGTTTTTTTTTCTTTTGTTCTATTTTCATACGTAATTTTTGTATGAGCAGTATGCCCATACCCACTCGTTCACATAATGGATTGAAAGAGTAAAGGGTTTTACTTCATTAATAATGCATTTTCTCTGTTAAAGATTTTTTTC